ACAACTTGAAAAGTAGGAATAAGTGAAACCGCAAAAAAAAAAAAATTGGGTCACATAAATAAAATAAAGTTATTCATCAAAAAAATAAAAACAAAAAAAAACTGTCACATTTGACGGACAAGCGGGGTTGTGGGAAAAGCAGTGCAAATATTTCTTAAAATAGAAAAAAATAAATAAATCTGTACGACGCACATCAACATCAGAACCATCCATCTTTTTCTGTGAGAACAAATTCTTCCGCTCGGTTTATTTTTCTTCTCTGTGATTTCTTTTAGGAGCCCAAATCGTCAGCAGAAGGAAACAACACACACGACATTTGCTCTGTTGAAGCACAGAAGAAAGGGAGCAGAGGAGGATGAAACGGAGGCCTCTCGCTGTGTGTTTTCACAGCTGTGTGCGATGCGCACGGCTGAACGTTCAGACTGTTTCATCTCGGAGTGAACACATGAAACTGGGCTTCATGTAAAACTGGGACCGGCGCAGTCCCGATCAGTTTAGTACTTTTAAGGTTCATTTAAAGTTTAATTTATGATCCGTAACCCAGGATATAATCTGCTCTTGAAGTCTGATTTTATTCAAGCCAGGCAGAATGGATCTGGGTTTTAGCTCATCTCACCACCCTTCTGCTGCACTCCTTTCTTTTCTTCCTACAACCCATTTCCCCCTTCCAGCTTTTATCTTTTACCCCATCCGCTCACTTATACGCTCCTTCGCTGATCTGTGCTCTGAGAATTCCTGTTTTCTTTCTTTACTTGCCCAAAATTCACCTTTACTGTGCACTTGTCCTCCAAGTTCGGCATTTTATCGTTTCATTTGCAAACAGATGTCAGCTGAAGAAAGAAAAAGGTATAAAAAACAGAAAAGACAAGAGAAGGTTTAGCATTGGGGGTCAGGTTCAGTGTAAATCCCAAAAACATGCAAATACGGGATCCAAGAGGATGTAAACAAACAGACTACAGCTGTCTCGGTCACATTGGGAGATGCAGAGAAGTTGATGGAAATGAAAGAACAGGAAGAGTGGAGCGAGGGAAAAGTCTGGAGAACGCTAATAAGATCAAACGTGCTGATGAGCACACGCACACACTCTCTCTCCTCACCCAACACCATCAAATCCCCTCAACAAACAAACAAACATACTGTACGGGCGGATTGTACAAGTCGTCAGCATGCCCATTAATGCAGCCAGGCATCCCATAATTCCATCCCCTATTTTACTCACTTTTAATACTCATAAAAATCCTCCTCTGCTTTGAATTCTTCCCTTCTTCTGCTTAAATCTCGGGAATACAGTAGACGGTAATGCAACGACACGAGACGTGCAGCCCTCTTAAGGCATGATGGGGCTTTTATGTACAGGTTTAGCGGCTGACAGGTTAGCGGGTTTAGCTAACAGCCGACGTGCCTGCTGGTGCAGAGGGGGGATTTTAGAAGGCTTAGTACTGAGAAGGCCACAGTTGCCTGAAGTGGCAGCAAACTGAACAGAATTCCATGCAAGGAGGGTGGGATTGTGAGGCTTTGGAGTTGTTTAACGCTGTTGTTTAACTCGATAATGGCAATTAGTATTTGAGAGAATTTAAAATATGCAAAGAAATTACTACAACTGTGGAATGGTGCTTGTATATGTCCGTTTTGAATGCATATTACGTAAATTATTGATGCATTGCACCTGCAACCAGAAAACAAATAATACTATTAATAGTAAATAAATCAGGATAATAAATCATAATAAACCAGACTTTAACAAAGAGTCCAGACCAGAACAATTGCAGGAAAATAAAATCAGTTTCATTTACATAAAGTGAATTAATTAACTTTGTTACAATGAACTCATGTAATTTCACAATGTTAGACTTTTATTGTCAGCCATAAATTAAACCCAAGGATTGTAAATAATATCACCTCAGATAAGATTTTTTTTAAATGTGCACAACAACTCAAAGTTCTCTGTTATCTCTGAATGTGACTGCTGCTTCATAATGTCAGAGTGCTGTTGGTTTGTGAGGGAAAAATAAAACTTCACACATCAAATTTTCAGCAGTTTGTACAATTTTATTTGTATTGTTTTCAAGCCTGTTTTTATAAGACTGTATTGATTATAGTAGACAGTGTGTAAGTCCAAGTTGTGTGAAGCTACTTGTTGGCTGTGCAGCAGCTAGAGGGCCGTTCTCGTGGGATTGCACCAAAGAGTTGTTTGTTAGTTACGGCTCCTCTGGACTCCCAAACCCAGTGAAGGAGAACCCATAACTCTTTGCTGTAAAGGTTTCCTCTGCACATCCAGTTGCATCAGAAACTGATGCTGGGGGGGGGGATTGTACCAAGATTTAATGTAATTGGATACAGACTCAGCTGTTCCAAAGGCGGCACAGAAGCTTCTCCTCAGTAACACCTTGTGAGAGTGTTTGTGTCTGAGCGTCATTAAATGTCAAAGCACATAAAATGTAAATACATTAAATACCTTCATCGTCAGTCTTAACTGATCATTTATTTACATGTTGTTCTTGTTCGTGTTTCTCATTTGTGATCCGGTCCTACCCAGTATCACTCTTTTTTCATCCATATTTTCTCCCACAATCTCTGTTTAGCCCACAAGTAGCCACCTCTGCCTGTGATGAGTGTATTCAAGTTTACCTCACGCCAACACTCACCGATGTAAGGAGAAGAAAAGAGGTCAAAGTACGGACAAGAATTTAAGATAATGAAAAATGCACAATGGAAAACCCTAATTAAACACTAAACGCTCGTGTCTGTCTACCGATCTTCCAGTTTGTCTCTGAAATCTGATGCAGCTTGTTGACAAGTGTAGGAGATGTCAGCGCTCATGCTAAAAAGCTGTTTGTGTCTCTGCTGGAGTGTTTGTGCTTGGTGCTTTTACAGCTTTTCTCCCACTTTCCTTTCAGCACACACACGCTCACACACACACACACACACACACACACGTGCACACAAACAGGACCTGCCAAGCTTTTGGGTGTGTGGGTAAATCTTTTGGCAACATGGCTGCCAGTGCGGAGCTATGATGAATGCTGATGGCAATGGCAAAGAGCATGGCCAGTCACCGAACCCATCACACACACACACACACACACACACACACACACACACACACACACACACACACACACACACACACACACACACACACACACACACACACACACACACACACACACACACACACACACACACACACACACACACACACACACACACACACTTACAGACGCTCACACACTAATCAGATTTCCAGTGCGTGAGGGCCAAATGGCATCCTTCCACTGGTGAATGCTAATGTGACCAGTGGAGCTTGTGGACTTGTGAAACAAGTATAGCAAGAGCCAGGAGAGATGATGACAAGACAACATAGACAAGCCCGTTCATGTGTGTGTGTGTGTGTGTGTGTGTTTTGGGGGGGTAGCTACTGTGTGCTGATCTCATTTACACTTTAAATTAAACTTTTAAATTTTAGAGCCAAGATTGAATTTGGTGCTTGTAAAAAAGGTTAATAAAGCAGTTGTTTATTTTCAGGAGTTTCACTGAGAATTCGGTCTACAAGTACATGAGTATGTATGTCAAACTCTAATAATTAGAATATGGTGCAAACATTGATTCATTTCATTAAATAAACTCAGACTGAGAGACCATCTCGCAGGGGTGTCAAACTCCAGTCCTTGAGGGCCAGTATCCCGAATCATTTTGTTGTTTGCCCGTTCCAACACAGCTGATTCAGCTGTGCAGCAGCTCACCAAGCTCTCCAGAAGCCTGTGACTCACCTGCTGATTGAAATCAGGTGTGTTGGAACAGGGAAAACACTAAAACATGTGGGATAGCGGCTATCGAGGACTGGAGTTTGGCACCTGTGGTCTACAGGCTCAGGAACCCTTTGCTGGTGTTTTGGATTAATCAGCTGATTGGAGTGACGCTTCCTAGAGTCTAGAATGTTGAACCTTTTCATCAGAGATTTTGATTTGGGGTTTTCTTAAGCTCTAAGTCATAATTATCACAATTATCACAATTAAAGGGTCAAACTATCTGGCTATGCATATAATGAGTCTATCTCATATAAGTTTTACATTTTACGTTGAATTAGTGACATAAATGAACTTTGTATCATATTCAAACTTTTCCAGTTTCACCTGTAGGGTCTTACTAATGTGACCAATTCATGTGTGTGTGTGTGTGTGTGTGTGTGAGGGTATCCCCATTGTTCGCTCAGGAAATCACTTCCCTGGTTACGTCTAAGTGCACAGGCAGGTAAATGTAAATTGTTTTCTAAACTAGGCTGAGATAACACAAGTGAGATGTATTTTAAACAGAAGGTCATTCACAACGGTGGAGAACGCTGAGGTGGAACTAGATAGATCCCATAAAAATGCTGAATGGTTGATCAAATCAATGGAAACTGCTCATTGGATCACTTTGAAAAACTGTTACGTTGGTCTTCAGTTGGTTTGGTGCACGCTTGGTGCCGTGGAGCGACGGTGGCACAGGAGTTAAGTGCTCGCCCTGTAATCGGAAGGTTGCAGGTTCGAGCCCTGCTCAATCTGTGGCTGTCGTTGTGTCCTTGGGCAAGACACTTAACCCACGCTGCCTGCTGGTGGTGGTCGGAGGGACCGGTGGCACCAGTGCTCTGCAGCCTCGCCTCTGTCAGTGCGCCCCAGGGCAGCTGTGGCTACATTGTAACTCATCCCCACCAGTGTGTGAATGTGTGTGTGAATGGGTGAATGACTGGTTGTGTGGTAAAGCACCTTGAGGGGTTCCAGGACTCTAGAAGGCGCTATATCAAATACAGGCCATTTACCATTTACCATTTACCATTTAAAAGCAGCCAATTACCAGTCAACACCAATTATTAAACAGTTGTTGTATAATCAAATCGTTGCATAATTTCTTGTGTTTTTCTGCAGTGTTTAAATTGATCCACTCATAATGTAACTGTCAATAAAACCCACTGTGAAACAATGATATTAAGAACAAAGAAAATGGAATGAAGTGGTACTCACAGCGTTCAATTCGGTCCTCTGGGCTGGAGGACGTCTCCCGGTCGGACAGGAGGCCTGAGACGGCGAAAATCTTTTTCCCGCTGTCTTCTACTGCTTTCAGTGCGCTGCTGGGTGAGCCCCCAGGAGGGATCTGAGCTCCTCCAAAGTCATACTCTTTCCCTTCAGCATCAGAGTACCTCAGGTGGGGTGAAGCGTCTGGATCCAGACAGCCTTTGAGGCGCTTGGCTGGAGTGAAAGCAGACTGATAACCACCTGGTGCCCCGTCTCGATCTTCTGGAGGTGAGGCAAAAGGCCTGAAGGCGCCAACGCCACTGTGATTCAGCATGCTGATGGGTGAGCAGTCCAGGTTAGGTGGGGCAAATTGATGGTGCAGGTGGAGGAGGGACGGAGGAAAGTCCCTGTTGGGAAATCCTGGTGGGACTGCACCTTGGCGGTGATACATTGATGCAAAAGTGTAAGAGCCATTGTTAAATGGCAAGTGGACATCTTTTTCAACAGAAACGGGCACCCCAAACGGACGTGGCTGCTGGCAGGGAATAGAAGCATCGCGGGAGGCTTCAGCTGTGGAGGCCAAGACCATGAGAGCCGGAGAGGCTAGAGGATTAGGCAGATAGGAGGAGCTCTCCATCTTGAAGGCTGCCCGGTGGAGGTCCATGTCGGGAGGGTCGAAGAACGCTCGAAGAATTTTAAGGAGAGGAGGAGACGAATCCTCCTCTGGGAGATTGAAAAACAATACCCTAGGCTCTTGGATCGGGTCTAAGAAGGTGCAGGAATCTGAGATGGAGATTGGAGGGATTTGGTCTCTGGGTGAGGGGCTCAGAAAAGACCCCTTTGTAAAAAGAGAGGCGATCTCTGAAGGAAAAGTGGAAAGGAGCTGCCAGCAACAGTTTAGTTTTTATTTGCCACCGACGAAATTTTCACAAGTGTCATTTAGTTCAGATGACTCAAGTTAGGGAGGTACCAACAGAGGTCTTCAACTGTTCATCAAAGTCAGAATGGAGTCACGAACACTCGGCGGGATCTGGATGGAGCTTGTCTTCTTGGGTGATGATGGTCCAGGAGAGGTAAACATCTGTAAGTCATCAAAGCTGGTTCCTCATCCTCAGCTGGCAACGAGTCTGAGGACACACAAAAAACAAACATTAGACGCATGTTCGTATACGTGTTAAAGCATGACGAGTTCATTTTACATAAACCCTTTAAATGTTGCAGTTGACAATGTACCAAGAAATCAGAAGCAACCTTTATGCCATCACTTTTAAACGTTAATCATCAATTTTCAAACTCTAATTGTTTCTTTGAGAAAAAGACCTGTTTCTATTTCCTCAATTGTGTTTTTTCTTTAAATGATTTCTTCTTTCATTAAAGTGTTCACATTCCCCCGCGTTCCTGAAAACGTCCCCGTGTTGTCCTCCAAATCTCTTATCTGTCCATCTCGTCCTCCTCTTCATTTTCTCTCCCTCCTCATCGCCTCCTCTCATCTTCGTACTACGATCTATTCTCCCTCATTCCCACTAATCAATTTCCCTCCGGGATTAATAAAGTATTTTGAATTTGAATTGAACTGAATGTCAGATCTTGCTCTAAGCAGCTTATTCCCACCGTCTTTCGGGATATTATTGGACCAGAACCACTTGTCTTAAGATAAGGACGCAGACACACACACTCACCACCCACACACACACACACACACATCTGATAAGTGTGGCTCAATGTTCAGCTCAGCAGCTGACTCAGTGGGGCAAACCACACGCCACACTCTTGTGGGGCAGACTAACTTATCTCTCCATCTTATTACTTTTAATTCCCAAATTTTCCACTATCTGTGCCCTCTTCTTCGTACATCTCTCCCGTCAATCTCCTCTCCTCTCATCCCTACATCACTCGCCCCCGTCACCCACCTCCGCCACCTCTTTCTCCCCTGGGTGATTCAGATGGGCGATATCATATCAGGCCTCTCCATCTGCCAACCACTAGGCAGAGGAAATCTGACTGAGTGAATAAATTAGCCGTACTTGACCTCACGACCCCCTCCTCAGCAACCGAGGCGAGAGACCAGATTTCCCCCCCCGTGGGGATTAGATTGTAACGGGCTACGGTCGGTCACAGGAATGCAGGGAGGAAGTCGATGAAATGCAAAATAACGTTTCAGAGATTTTTATCCCCGTAAGGGCAATTTAAAGGTGTTTGGCTTGTTAAAGGTTCCATAACTTGGAGCGGGCGAAGATGCACTTATCATGAATGTGGTGTGACAGGAGGAGGGAAATATCAATCTAATTACAAATAAAGTGTCTCCTGATTTCCAAAAATGTGATAAAATGATGTGTGTCGGAGGTGATATTGACAGTTTTCCAGTCCCAAAGTCAAGCGTGAACCCGTGTGCATGTGTAAACAGGATAAACACAAACCGACAGTAGCAAGTAGTGCCGTGGCTTGCTCTGGTTGAGCTTCAAAGCTGCGCTGACTACCAACCGACATCAAAGGAGAAAGTCCATGGGAAACGAAAGGGTGGGGGGGTGGGGGGGATCTTTCACAGCTATCAGCTGTCTGCAACACTCATTCAAATCAATTTCCAAACCTGATCTCAGCTTTGGCTTGCTCCACTACCTCCCACGAAAGGCTACACACCCACAGGGGGGGTGGGGGGGGGGGGGGGGTGGGGGGGGGTTTAAGCACCCATACGAACTGAGAGAACATGTGAGACGTTTTACATCACTGCAAATGTACAGTGGACTCGTGAGGAGTGGTGAGAGCAGCTTACAACAACACACCTCGAGTCTGGACGGATGCCACAGAATCGCATTACTCATCCCTCTCCTGGTCCACTTTCTCTTCCTTTACTGTATTCTGTAAGCTGTCCTGGAAATGAGCCGTAATGAAACGACTCTGTTTAAAACTTCCCGTCGGTCAGCTTCCTCCCTCTCTCTCTCTGTTCACCACATCATGCGTGCTTCTAAAGGGATCTGAGGTGTCGAAAAGCCAACTGATGCACTGATAAGTATGTATTTCAGTTTTGTCATCGGCACCCATCGTGCTGCGGGGCGGGAAGTGAAGGGCCACCAACGTAAAGCAGCTAGTAAAGGAGCAAGTGGAGGTGAAACCAGTAAAAAGTAAAAGGGACAAGAAGTTACTAAAGTGTCCTAACTCTTCAGAAAGAAGCCAACAAACGTGGAAATTCAAAAGAACACGTCGCTGCATTTAAATGGCTCTTTGTTTACTTTTTGTTTGAATTTTTCTTTTTAAAACTTCTGAATATTTAAGCATTTTTACATTTTTTCAAATCAAGATTAAAATGTAAGTGTCTATATTTATACAGTGCCTTCTAGGGTTCTACAACCCCCCAAGGTGCTTTACAACCCAATCAGTCAATTACCCATTCACACACATTCACACACTGGTTGTGATGAGCTACATTGTAGCCACAGCTGTCCAAGGCGCACTGAGAGAGGTGAAGCTGCTGAACTCAGGCGCCACCAGTCCACCAACAGCAGGCAAGATGAGTTCAGTGTATTGCCCGAGGACACAACTGCAGAATTCTCTGCCAGAAGCCGGGATCGACCCTATAACCCTCCGATTACCAGACAACCCACTCTACCTCCTGAGCTACTGCTGCCAACAGTCCCTCCAACCACCACCAGCAGGTAAGGGTGAAGCATCTTCCCCAAGGACACAACAACCGCGACAGACTGAGCAGAGCTCGAACCCGCAACCTGGTCCAGTTAAGTTTGTAAACACTAAATTTCCTCTTTCACATTGCCATGAATTAGAATATTTCAGATTTATTCAAGCCGGTTTTTTAAATCAAATTCCATCTAGAAGTGCTACAGTAGCCCTACAGCTAACTTCCTGTGCAAATGACCGCAGAATTCCATGAGAGCGAGCCTGTAAACTGGGATTTATGATGGGGAAAGACGACATTTGCTTACATTACTGTGGGATTTCTTAAACTAGTTGGTTAATGCAACTTATACCTGGGTTCTACTCAGATTGGCCATTATTCCTCTGTTCAGTCAGAACTAATCTCCGCTTCTCCAAACTGAGGTTGTTCAATAAGTCCTCTTTAAATGTATAATTTACAATTTTATCCCTCAATATAAGTGTCAAATCTGCTAATATAGACTGATGTCCTTTTTTTTAACCTTGTTTCTAGAATAACAATCAAACCACCAGATGACACACACACACACACACACACACACCTTCCTATGCATGTCATCAATATAGGAACGCAATTACTTCTTATGCAAACATGCATAATGTCAGCGGTGCCACTTACAATCCCATTTGCCACGGAGTGATACCACCCACACACTGTCTGACACCGGGCTGTGTGTGTTTTATAATAGAAAATGTCACGAGGAACATTTACCACGCTGTCATTATTTGATTACAGTGTGCAAGAATGATACAGTTGTCAGTGCGATATTAAATACAACAAGCAAGGCAGGCTTTTCACGTTGAATTTGCACTTTGAGAGACGTTGCTGCTGCAGTCGGGGAAAATTGTGGTGTCAATAGGAATGTGGTTGAACGTCATTCTGGGGGAGGATTTCAATCAGAAGATGCTGGGAGGAAAGAGGTTGACTAGAATAATTGATATTATGGTCATGGAGGTGTTTTCTTTACGGCTCATGTTTGATAAATGACTCATGAGTATTTTTCGTTTTTGGTGAGTTTCTGTGAATGCAGAGAATGGCTTTTATTCCTTTGATGACAAGAATAAAGACAGCTAAGAGAATTCTAAGCATTTTACCATTTAGATGTTTGGGTGTTTGTCTTCTTGGACCAAAAATGGAACCAAATAGCAAAATGCATCTCTTTCATTGGCGTCTTTGTTGTTGTCAAAGTAAATATTTTTCTAGAGACGCTGCTTTGAGTGTGTAACTAATGCCTTTGGTGTTCCAACAAACAGCTGAAACTTGTCACCATGAGTTTTCCAGCATGTCTGCTGAGTTTTGGAGAGGAATGGAAATGGCATCCAACTTTTGTTATAAAAATGTCTTGTCGACTGTGACTGGCGTGTGTGTGTGTGTGTGTGTGTGTGTGTGTGTGTGTGTGTGTGTGTGTGTGTGTGTGTGTTTTCTTTATAAATTGGAATCAGTTCTACTAGGGTAAATAATCTAAGCATTCTAAAATTTATAATTACGAGCATAATTGTGACTTTTCAAATCATATTTCAGCCTTTTTTTTTTACATGAAGCCAGTTCATGAAAACAAAAACTCTGTGAGGGGTCAAAGGGCAAAAGATCTACCCTGATTTGAATGCAAAACACATGGAGGAGTCATTTTGTAATCAGAGCCATCCAAAACGGCACTTCTGTTTAAAACTCTGACGTCGGACAAAAATATTTGTCGCCGTGACGCAGAAACTCAAAGCTAACTGTGAGTGTGATGTGCTTTAGGATGAAGAGTGTTGCA